TTCAGAATCATTTGTTGAAAAGGATTACACTTTCCCCATCAAATTGCTTTAGTACATTTATTGAAAGTCAGTTGACCATATATGTATTCATCTGTTTCTGGACTTCTCTACTTTGTTTTGTTGAACCACTAGAACCACACTGTCTTGATTAATCTCACCTTACAGTAAGTCTTGAAATAGGTGGTGTTAGCACTCCAAGTTTGTTCTTCCTTTTCAAAATTGCTTTGGCTATTCTAGGTCTTTTTCCATATATATTTTAGTATCAAGTTGTCAATTTCTGTTTTTAAAAATCTGCTAGGATTTATTTGGGGTTGCACTGAATCAGTAGACCAGTTTAATGAAAACTGACATCTTAACAATATTGCATTTTCTCATCCATGAACATAGTATATCTCTCCATTTATTTAAGTCTTCTTTAATTTCTCTCAGCAGCGTTTCATAGTTTTCAATGTGCAGATCTTTTTTAAAAAATAAATTTATTTATTTATTTTTGGCTGTGTTGGGTCTTTGTTTCTGTGCTTGGGATTTTTCTAGTTGTGGTGAGTGAGGGCCACTCTTTGTTGTTGCATGGGGGCTTCTCACTGTGGTGGCTTCTCTTGTTGCGGAGCATGGGCTCTAGAGGTGTGCGGGCTTTAGTATTTGTGGCATGCAGGCTAAGTAGTTGTGGCGTGCGGGCTCTAGAGCACAGGCTCAGTAGTTGTGGCACACGGGCTTAGTTGCTCCGTGGCATGTGGGATCTTCCCAGACCAGGTATTGAACTCATGTCCCCTGCATTGGCAGGCGGATTCTTAACCAGTGCGCCACCAGGAAAGTCCCTCAGTGTGCAGATCTTGCACATATTTTATTAAATTATCCTGAAGTATTTCACGTTTTTGAATGTTGTTAGCAGAAGTTAAATATTTTTTATTTACCAATTTTTATTGCTGGTATATAGAGATACAGTTACTTTTTGGATATTGACCTTGTAACTGGTAAGCTAGCTGTTCACTGTCATTAATTCTTGTAGCTCTTTTCCGTATAGATTTTCTTAGGCATTTCTGCTTACACAATCATATTATTTGTTAGTAAAGAAAATTTTACTTATTCTTTTTCAATCTGTATGTGTTTTATTTCTTTTTCTTGTCTTATAGTACTACCTGGGACCTTCGCTACAATCTTGAATATAAGTGCTTAGAGTTTGTTGTTCCAATCTTAGGAGGAAAGCATTCAGTCTTTTCACCAGTAAGTGTGCTGATAGCTGTAGGTTTTTTAGTAGATGCCCTTTATCAGGTTCAGGAAGTTCCCTTCTATTCCTCATCTATTGAGAGTGTCATGAAAGCGTGTTGTATTTTTTTCAAATTACTCAAACCCAACCATATTACATGTAAATGATCTAAATATTTTAATTAAAAGGCAGAGAATAACAGACAGAATAACAAAGCAAGATCTTATCAATCAGTCTTTGCTGTTTAAAAAGAAACACTTTATTATTTTTATTTGTTTTAAGAACTTTATTGAAGTATCATTGACAAATAAAAATTGTACATATATAAGGTGTACAACGTGATGCTTTGATATATGTGTACGTCATGAAATAATTACCACCATTAAGCTAATTAGCATACTGTCTTGATTTTCATTCTAATTATCTGGCTGTTCTTAGACTATATTCTTTGCTCAGGACCACTATTAGGCCTTAAAATATTTTAGCTTCACAGATGCTATTTTCTTCTCATCCTATATCTTTTCTCTACAGTCTCATGGCTTCATTTATTCTCTGTGGCTTCATTTATTTCTCCACCTCAAACTGTTTCCCTGAGTTTACCGTGCATACATCCAATTGCCTACATGCCATATTTTCTTAGATCTTTCAAATGAATATCAAGCTTGTGTACAAAGTCAAAGAAGTTAATGATTTTCACTGCAAACATGTGAATGATGCCTTGTGAAATTGTGCAATGCAATGATCTTTTAAGATTCCTATATCTTGAATGTCTCCAGCTATGTATGCAGTCAAGAACCAGAATTAATCCTTGACCTTTTTTCTCCCACATCCAGTTAGTCATTGAGTTCTGCCCCTGTATCATATATTTACATAGCTCTCTATACCTGTTGTACCTAAAATTTTAAATATTCTGTAACTGATTATATATTTGTGTGATTATATAATCATTACGAAACTCCCCTAGTAGGCTGAATTTTCACTGTTATTACCCCATATATAATGCAGTTCTGGCTTATAATAGGTGCTAAATACATGCTTTTCAATGAATTAACAAAGCATATGAGTAAAATTAAATATTTTATAAAATATTGTCTCAAGTCTTTTTTAGAATTATGTGACTCTTTTGAGGATCATACTTCTTTTTAAATTGAATTTTATTTATTTTTTTATGCAGCAGGTTCTTATTAGTCATCCACATTATACGCATCAGTGTATACGTGTCAATCCGAATCTCCCGATTCATCCCACCACTTTAAATATAAAAATACAGGGGGCTTCCCAGGTGGCGCAGTGGTTGAGAGTCTGCCTGCCGATGCAGGGGACACGGGTTCATGCCCCGGTCCAGGAAGATACCACATGCCGCGGAGCGGCTGGGCCCGTGAGCCATGGCCGCTGAGCCTGCGCGTCCGGAGCCTGCGCTCCACAACAGGAGAGGCCACAACAGTGGGAGGCCTGCGTACCGTAAAAAATATATATATATAAATGTAAATATATATATATATATATATATGTATATATAAATACAAATAGTTTGACAGTAAAAGGATGTTAAAGGATATAGCAAATGTAAACCACAAGAATGGTATGCTCTAATAGTGTCAGACAAGGCAGACTTCAAGATACCCTATATTCACTTCAAGACACTCACCCACTCTCGCTGAAAACAGGGCGCATAGGAGCCACCTCTAGCTGCCATGTCTGGCAAGTTCTTGTTTGGAAACAAAGCCTTGGCTAGGTGGGGGTCCTCCTTCTGGTTCCCCTCTTTCCCTGGATTGTATGTTATCCAAGCACATGAGTCATTCTGTAGGGCCTTAGGAGAGAGGGCACCTGATGTGTGTGTGGGGACATCCATCTTTTCCTGAAGGTACATCTAGTAATCATTATTTCTGGTCCCCCAGAGTCTGTAACTAACACTGGCAAATACCCATCTGCACTCCTCAAGGGAGAAATAAGGAAGATATTAGGACCTAGATGGAAACTGAGTGCAGGTCAGTTTGTGGAGTCCCTTGCGCTGCAAGTCCAAGCGGCCCCACCTCTGAGTCGGGTGGAGCAGGTGGGATTTTGTCAGTGAAGGGACTGAGCACAGGAGTGTGTGCAGAAGGGCAAAGGCAGAGAGTGCAGTGTGTGTGAGAAGAGAGACACGGCATCCCTGGGGTCGGGGAGGCAGCGGGAAGTGCCCGGAGGACCTGGAGGCACATTGGGAGAGGCGGCCTGGTGAGCAGTGGGCATTTGGGACTAGCACAGGCTTTAAACCACCGTGAGAGGGACGTGAAGACGTGTGTCTGTGTTTTGGGAAAGTGAGTATGACGCAGCAAAGACAAGAGGCTGTGGAGGGTGTGGCTGGACAACTGAGGGGCCTGTGTCCGGGACCCCTGGGCAGCTGGGCTTCATGCACAGACACACTGGGGCTCACGTCACGTGAGAAGTCCTTTTCTCTTCTAAATAAAACTATTAGGTAAGTCCCATCTACTATCACCGTGATTTTGCACATAGTGATCTGTGTAACATTGAAAAGGTAATCTCAAGATACAGGTATAACTTTGTTGAAGATGCAGGCTTTATGTTTTTCATTTTGTATCCAACAGCGAAAACTTTGTTGCAAACCAACCTAGGCCCACAGACTGACATATGAGACTCACTGAGTGCTTCAGGCTTGTAGAGTCCAGGCGAAGGCAGCAGGAGCCCGCAGAGGGTGATGTGGGGTGCAGGGGAAGGGGTGGGTGGATCGAGAGTCCTTAGGTGGAGTGACAGGACCTAGGACTCAGTGTGTGCATGTGACGGAGGTGGGGGCCTCAGGGACAGCCCTGGCTTACTCAGCAAGGTGATGCAAGAAGACGAGGGGCCGAGTAGGTGGGGATGGCAGAGGGGCGGAGGGGCGAGCAGAGGGAGCTGTCCTGAGCGTGGCTTGTTGAGGTTTGTGCTGGGAGCTGCTCTGTGTCCTGTAAGGGATGGCCAGGCGGGTGCGGCCAGGAGAGGAGGCGCAGGAGGAACGGGGAGGCAGAGCTCCTTACACTCCCGGGTCCTGGAGGCCGGAGGCACCGACCGCATGAGGGCCACGTGCAGGAAGCCCGAGGGGGGCCGGAGGCAGAAGGGGGAGGAGCCAGGGCAGAGCCGAGGCTGCAGCTTTTATTGGGCTTTCTGCTCCGAAGGCAAGGCTGGACAGGTTGAACAGCCTCGGGTCAGCTTGCTTGGATGATCTCAGCGGGCTCTAAGCTATATGGGTGGCTCCTGGTTGCCTGGCCCTTGGCCCTGGGATAATGAAGGCAGTGGAACGTAGTCCCCTGGGTGTGTGTGGGCCCACAGAGGAGGAGGGCTCCAGGGGGTCAGCCTGCAGGTCACAGGAGTACTCCTGAGAGCCCTTTGCCATCTCTAGGAGTTGGCCACCCAGGAGGGGCAGTGTCTCCTCAATCAGAAAGTTTTTTAAAGATGTCAAAACATAATATACAGAAAATTAAAAATACATATGGTACGGAGACGTCTGGGGAGAGGTGCCCAGTGTTCACTGAGGAGGGGCTGGATGCTGGGGAGGAGGGTTTTGAGTCTCGCTGTTTGGGTGGAGGGGCATCCCCCGTCGGACATGTGGGCGACCGGCATGTGTTGGCCTCAGAGCCCAGGGGCTAGTGGCGGGAGCCCCGGGGGCCCCCACGGGAGGACAGGAAGCTGAGCTGTCCTGCCGTACATGGGGGAGTGCCCCCTGCAGCCCGGGCCCCGTTGTGGGTGGACTTCGGGACCTGGGTGCGGGGGTTGCTGAGGCGGGTTCGCACCTGGTGGCAGTGACCCTCTGGTCTGCTCGCAGCTCTGTGGCCGTCACCATGTTCTGGAAGTTTGACTTGAGCACCACGTCCCACGTCGACAAGCTGCTGGATAAGGAGGACGTGACGCTGCGAGAGTTAATGGATGAAGATGACATCTTGCAGGAGTGCAAGGCCCAGAACCGGAAGCTGCTGGACTTCCTGTGCAGGCAGCAGAGCATGGAGGAGCTGGTGAGCCTCGTCACACAGGACCCGGCCCTGGGCGTGGAAGAGAAGGTCCGCTTCAAGTACGTACCGCGGCGCTGGGTGGCCTGGCGCTGGGCAGCGTGCAGGGTGGCAGCGGGCAGGGCTTGAGGACGGTCAGAGCCAGGCTTTCTGACAGTGTGGCTGACCGTAAACGTTTGCCCCGCCTGACATGCGAGAAGGCCCCTCCGGTGGGCTTTGCTTCTGTGATGGTGAAGATTTGGGGATCTCCTGCGTGTGATTCCTCGCTCTGGATTATAGCGAGCTGCACCGTGTTGGAGTGTTTTGGGTGAATATGTGCTGAAGAAAGGCTGAGCTCTGACAGGCCGATGGGTGCAGCCTTGGCCTGACTGGTGAAACAGCCAGTCCCCAGAGACAGGCGGCATCTGACTGCTCGACCGTGGGGTCTTGGGCCTGGAGGACGTATTTTGTGTCATTAGTGATCCTGACCGTTCTCAGAGTTTTTCCTAAAATGTTCCATTCAACAGTCAGCTGGGATGTTAGGGGACAACAAAAGGGACAGGGCAAGGACTTGGGACAAGGGTTGGAGTGAGGACAGAGTGTGAATGGGTGGGGCCTCAGGTGACAGGAAGGACAGCAGAGCCGGCCTCTGGCTCTGAGGGTGCCTCTCTGGGCCTGAGCAGGCTCTGGGAAGCGGGGGAGCTGGGGCTAGTGATGCAGAGGGATTCAGGGCAGACAGGGTGCCCTCAGCTGCTCACGTGTCCCACAGGGAGTCGGCGTGTGGTGGTAAAGTCTTAGTTGGGAAACTACGGCCTGAGGTCAGATTCTGTTTTTGTGAGGCCTGCAAGCTGAGAATGGTATTACATTTTTAAATGGAAAAAATAGAAAAATAATAATATCACATGAAAATGACAAAATTCACATTTCCTTGTCCGTCATTTTCACTGTAAAGTCTTGTTGGACACATCCGTGACCCGTTGGCCATGACAACATAGACGTTCTAAAATATTGACTCTCTGGCCCTTTACTTTTTACAGAAAGTCTTTGATGACTTAGGAGGCAAGTAAAGAAGGACGGGGTGATGGGGAGTAGTGCTGCAGTCGTGGTGGTCCACCGCGCCCCTCTGACAGGGAGGCAGCCGGCGCTTGAAGAGGAGAGCTCTGCAAAGAGGCGGGGGCTTGCTTGTTGGGGAGCCAGGGGATTGGGGCCATGGTGATCACCTGTGATAGATCAGAGGCCATCGTCCCTGAGATGTGCCTGGTCAGCGCCTCTTATCTCAGCATCGCCATTAGTGGGCCCCATTCCTTTCACTCTCTCACTCCCAAATGTGTCCTGTTGCTGACCCGTCGAGGGTCTCCCTGTCTGGAGGGTGTTGGCGACAGTGTGACGGGGAGAAGGGCTGGGGCAGCATGTTGTGGTTCTGGGTAGAGGGGTCCCAGCGTGGCATCAGTGAACCAGGAGAGCTTTATAGTCAGAGTTTGGGAGAGGTTAGCAGTGGGTGAGTACAAACAGCAAACAAGGCAGTGAGAAAACCTTTAACTCTGAGGGAAGGATGCATGTAAGTAAGCAAATAGAACAGTGTTTGCATGTTCATACAGAGGGCCACACTGGACATGGATTTAACTAAAAATTGTGGTATAATTTTATAGAGAGAGGGGGAAAGGGCAGTGGGGCGGCAGGGCAGGGTGGCGTGAGGTGTGTGAGCTACATCTTCACCTTCCACCATAGGAGGTCAATTTGTAATACCTAAAATTGCTAGATGAAGAAGTGTACTTGTATTTTATTTGGAAACATGGATGTCAGTAATACAGAAAATGCCAGGAGACTGTGGTGACTGTCTCAGGAGTGGGATGTGGGAGTGGGAAAGGAGGGGGCTGCCCTTCCTCACGAGCCCTGTCATACAGAGTCTTAAAAGCATTTGTGCGTATCACCTGTTTTTGGTTTTTGTTTTGTTTTTTTTTAATATTTATTTATTTACGTGGCTGCTCTGAGTCTTAGTTGTGGCACACAGGATCTAGTTCCCTGACCAGGGATTGAACCCAGGCCCCCTGCATTGGGAGCGTGGAGTCTTAACCACTGGGCCACCAGGGAAGTCCCCATATCACCTGTTAAAAAAAGTAAAAAGCCTTTAATTTAAAAAGTAATTTTAGGGCTTCCCTGGTGGCGCAGTGGTTGAGAGTCCGCCTGCCGATGCAGGGGACACGGGTTCGTGCCCTAGTCCGGGAGGATCCCACATGCCGTGGAGCAGCTGGACCCGTGAGCCATGGCCGCTGAGCCTGCACGTCTGGAGCCTGTGCTCCGCAACGGGAGGGGCCACAGCAGTGAGAGGCCCGCGTACCGCAAAAAAAAATAAATAAATAAAATAAAAGGTAATTTTAAAATTAACTTGCTTTTATTAAAAATTTATTTGCTTTTAATTAAAATTAAATCAAAACGTCCTTTTTGAGAAGAGGAATAGGCTGGGTAGATGGATGAGGTAGTAGCTGAAGGAAGAAGTGGAGTCAAGATCATTTTTTTAAAGATGCGAAAGATACAGATAGGCCCTGTTTCAGGCTTTGAGCCGTAGGTCTCCGTCGAGCTGCTCAGCTCGGCCCTCGGAGCGTGTGGCAGCAGCAGGTGACACAGCGGAGAGCGCGGAGCCAGTGCCTGCGCTGCTCTGCCTCTAGATGGCCGCCCCAGGCCACCTGGGCAGGGCGGCAGCACCTCCTCCAGCCGCCTTTGTGCCTCTGCAGCCCAGCTGCTGTGGCTTCACCCTCGTGGCTGCAGGCTGGTTACGGAGAGACCCTTCCCGAGAGCAGGGAGTGTGCCCGAGCCACACAGGTCCAGAGGAGCTGCCCTGAGTGGTTAGTTGTTCTGCTAAAGCCAGAAGCTGCTCCATGCAGGTGAGACCTCTGTGGAGCAGCCCTGGGCCGGGAGCTGGCCACCTGGTCCAGCCTGAGAACCCTGAGGATGCTTCTGGCCTCTTTCTTGAGATTCCTGTGCACTTTGCAGACTTCTGGACCATTTGAGAAATAAGACAGAAAAGCCAGCAGATGGACTCCAAGTTACCACTTCTGTTCCTCATGCTGGTGGTGTGTGTGGGGGGATGTTGTTTTAGCTCTGAGTGGAGGGCTTCCTCTTTCCAAATCAGAGTTAGAACTGCTCACCCAGCGGGAAGCAGGGCTGGGTCAGGGCAGGACCCCAGGAAGGACCCCACCCCCACCCCCACCAAATAACCCTGCCTGCCACACTAAGGGGCAGAGCAGAGAGGACGGCTGAGCCCAGTTGCCCAGCTGAGCCCCTGGAGAGCAGCAGGGCAGGGCCCAGAGGGAGGCGTGAAGCGGGGGAGAGGGAATGAATCTCCGCCGTTACGGTTCCTGGACTCTCCCATCCTCGCTCTGATAATTCCTGAGTCCACCTTCCGTGCTCCAGGATTTCGTCTTCCTCTTTTTTGTCTCCTTCCCCTGGCAAATCCTATTCTCTGGCAGCTTCCTGAGGAGGTCTGCGTGGGTGGCAAGGTTGGGGCGCAGCCTGAGTGCATCGTTCTCCTTCTTGCTGGCTCTAAGCTCCCTCTGGTTTCCAGCCCAGACTGGACATGCGTCTCCTGAAATTTTGAAGACTCCATAGGTGTCTTCGTCAACTGAAAAAAAAAAAAAAACGCACAGCCTAAAAGCTGAGAATTATGTTTTATTTGGCGGAATTTCTAAGGCTTCAAGCCCTGGAGACGGGACTCTCAGATCACTCTGAGGGACAGCTCTAAAGAGTGAGGGAGGGGCCAGGATATATAGGATTTTTTGCAACAAAGACCAGGTAGTCGGGACTTCAAAAGCTTACTGTTCATTAAAGAAAACCAGACATCTTAAGTTAATTTAGCACTTTCCTGTGTATGGAAAGATGCAAGAGTCTGGGCTTGGGACTTCCCTGGTTGGTGGTGCAGTGGTTAGGAATCCGCCTACCAATGCAGGGGACACTGGTTTGAGCCCTGGTCCGGGAAGATCCCACATGCCGTGAGGCAACTAAGCCCGTGCGCCACAACTACTGAGCCTGCACTCTAGAGCCCGCAAGCCACAACTACTGAGCCTGCATGCCTAGAGCCCATGCTCCGCAACAAGAGAAGCCACCACAATGAGAAGCCCGCGCTCCGCAACGAAGAGTAGCCCCTGCTCGCCGCAACTAGAGAAAGCCTGTGCGCAGCAACGAAGACCCAACGCAGCCAAAAAAAGAAAAAAAAAAAAGGAGTCTGGGCTCACTGAAATCATTCCTTTGATCTGCACCTCAGCTGTCTAGGGCCAGGATCCTGTGCTTTTCCCATCCTTGAGGGTGGCTGCCGTGGCTGAGCCGCTTTTCTCTCTCCCGAGTTCTCTCAGGGCTCACGGGGCAGGGCGGCTGGGGAGGCTCTAGTGGCTTGATGGCTGCAGCACCCTCTGTTTACTGACAGGGCAGCAGCATTTTTCGTTCACATCTTCTAGTTCCTAGTTCCAGCCCTGCTGCTGACAAGTCTGATGCCACAGGTCTGCAGCTTTCCTTAGGGGCATTTTAGGGCCTTTTCTAATCCTGTTGCTCTGGAATTTCCCAGTAATGTAACTTTATCCCTTGGGTTAAGATAGGGGAATCTCAGAAGCAGGACCAATAATCCAGGATAGTTTTATAGTCAAAGAGTTTGGGAGAAATTAGTAGTAAATAAGTATAAAACTAAGCAAACAAAACAAGGAGGAGGGGCTGGGAGTCTCACTGCACTGACCCTCCACCTGCCTGGTGGACGCTGTCTCCATCCAGGCCTCTCTGAGTGCTACAGAACGCAAGTGTGTGTGCCCAAAGCACAGTGAGGCCAAACAAACCGAAACGTCAGAGTTTGGAGCACAGAAAGGTTTTTTAATTGCAGGGACCTGCAGGGAGAATGGGTGGTTCATGCTCAAAACCCCCAAACTTGGGCTTCCCTGGTGGCGCAGTGGTTGAGAGTCCGCCTGCCGATGCAGGGGACACGGGTTCGTGTCCCGGTCCGGGAAATCCCACATGCCGCGGAGCGGCTGGGCCCGTGAGCCATGGCCGCTGAGCCTGCGCATCCGGAGCCTGTGCTCCGCAACGGGAGAGGCCACAACAGTGAGAGGTCCGCGTACCGCAAAAAAAACCAAAAAACACCCCAAACTCCCCGATTTCAGGGGAGAAGTTTTATAGGGAAAATTTGGGGTGAGGGCTGCGGAGTATGTGGCTGTCTTCTCGTTGGCTGGCAGAAAGGTAACAGAGCAGATGCTCCAGGAATCTTGGGCTCAGCCTGAAGTTACTGTCCTCCTGGATGGAGGCCTTGGTTCTGCTGAAGGGCTCACAGATACTGTTATGTGTATCCCTCGAGGAGGAACCAGGACCTGCACCATTGGTTCTTGGCTGCCCCTCCCTTGTTTCTTCAGCCCCTCCCTTCCCTGATTAGTAACTGTTTGAACCTGCCCTTTGGAACGTGCGGAATGTCAGGGAGGCTGAATGAAGCCTATTTCCTACCAACAAGAAATAGTGGACACAGAAAGGCTTTCGTGCCCTGGAGGGCTCCACAGGGTCCTTCTGGGTTTCTTGAGCAGTGTGTCTGGTTGCCCACCCTCCTCCCACAGGACCCTGAGACACAGACCTGCCTCATGCGCCTGGCCTGCTTCCCTGGCCGCCCACCCTGTAGGTTCATTCCGCGGAGTTTCTACCTCTCTTGTCTTTTCTTCTTTGCATTATGGCCACAAACCTCTATGTTCCGTCTGCCGTGTTTAACTGGAATGGCTATTTCCTGCATAAATTATATAAATTATTAGAGCAGCACCTGTTTTTCTGAAGAATAATTATAAAATACTGATAGAGATCTCAGTCCCTCCACCTAGATGCAAGCTTGTCTAAGTACAACAGCACCTTGTGGCTCAGCTTGCCACACGTGCACAATTCGTGTGTGTGCGCGTGCGCACACGCAGAGACTGGATGGGAGCCTTTCCGTGTGCTCTGGAAAAGCTTCTGTGCCTTTCTCTGGGGCATGCTTCTCCCTTGTTGCTTGGTGAGCCTTGTCTTGTTGTTTGGAGTCTGGTGGGCACCTCTCCGCCCGTGTCCTGTGGGGCCTCGTGCCGGCCTTGGGTGCTGCACTCCGAGCAGGCTCTCTGGCCTCTGCCCCTGGCGGCCCTGCACTGTCTGCTGTGCTGGTCACTGTGGGCCACGTCCACGGTATGGAGCTGCCCCATCTCATCCTCGCCTCGATCGCATGAGCTGGGCGCTGGCCACACCTCGTCTGGGCCCCTCTGTGTGGATCGGGCGTTCGCTCATACCCGGCTGCCCGCTTGGCTTCAGAAGGCCCTCTTCTCTGGGTGACGGGGAGCACCCACCCCACAGCCAGGCTGAGATCCTGTCCCCTGCCCTTCACGCTGGGCCGGCCGCCAGGCCCTAGCTGACTGCAGTGACCACCTGGGGTTAGGCCCTTGCTGGGGCCGTGTGGGTGGCTACCAGGAGCCGTAGGGTCACAGTGGCTGACCTTGACCCCAGGCTTACTGTGCGCCAGACGCTGCTGCTCTGCTTTATACGCAGCCTCGTGGGGAAGGCGGACACTCAGACCTCCATGTTCAGAGAAAGCAGCCCAGACACAGAAACGTTAGGTAAGGTGCCTGAGGCTGCACAGCATGTCCCGTGTAGCTTGGTGCCAGGTGTGCTCCAGGGCAGTCAGCCCCACAGGATGCTCCCGCTAGGTTCCTGCCTGCTCTGGCCCTGGGCACCCTCACCTGTGTTCCCAGATGTGCTGAGTGTGGCACCAGGCATTGTCGCTGCACTGCTATGGTGGGCTCTGTCCTGGATGCAGCAGGACATTGGGTAGGCCTGTCCCAGGACCACAGCAGTGACCCCATGTCTGTCAGAGGGTCAGGCAGGGAGCATAGTGGTATGGGATTACACGTAATGGGATCAGGATTATTTTGTGTCTGATCTTTTTTTTTTTTAAAGTAAATAAATTTATTCATTTATTTATTTATTATTTTTGGCTGTATTGGGTCTTAGTTGCTGCGCGTGGGCTTTCTTTCAGTTGTGGCGAGCGGGGACTACTCTTCGTTGCGGTGCGTGGGCTTCTCATTGCGGTGGCTTCTCTTGTTGCCGAGCACGGGCTCTAGGTGCGTGGGCTTCAGTAGTTGTGGCACGTGGGCTCTAGAGCGCAGGCTCAGTAGTTGTGGCGCACGGGCTTAGTTGCTCTGCGGCATGTGGGATCTTCCCGGACCAGGGCTCGAACCAGTGTCCCCTGCATTGGCAGGTGTATTCTTAACCACTGCGCCACCAGGGAAGCCCCTGTCTGATCATTTTTATCAAATGAATAGTACATCGTTTACATATATTGGTATATCTTAATAATAATTTGCCTGCATAACACTTCAGAACTGGTACTGCACTGTAAACTGCTGACGAAGCATCTCTTCAGTGTGGGAACAAGCTAGATCTGTGCTTGTTGACATGTGGGGTCAGGAAAGGCTTGGAGAGGGGAGGACGAACCTGATGGAGGTGAGAGACATGGCAGGTGAGTAGGAGGGCAGAGGAGAAGCCAAAAGATTAGGAAAGGTTCCGTAGAGAATGGAAATAGAGTCAGAAAATGTGGGATGTCAGAGTTTAGGGTATGAGGAGCCAGAAAAAGGTATGATAAAAACATTGAGGTTCTAGTAGTCAAAAATGCCGGTTGGTCACAGAATAATCACATTTTTATTCTGTTCCAGGGTCTAGCCATGTTTGGTTTCTGCCTGTGGATCTGCTTCCTAAGAGGCAGATCATTCAAGTAGCTTCCTGAGCAGTGGGGAAGTCTCATTCACCTCCAGTTGCTTGCACTGTGCCCCTTCAGGTACCCAAACACAGCCTGTGAGCTGCTGACGTGTGACGTGCCGCAGATCAGTGACAGGCTGGGAGGGGACGAGACTTTGCTCAACCTTCTTTATGACTTCTTGAACCGTGAGCCGCCTCTCAATCCTCTCCTCGCCAGTTTTTTCAGCAAGACCATTGGCAGTCTCATCGCAAGAAAAACTGAACAGGTACTCACCTGCCAAGCCCGCGAGATGTGGGAGGGAGGCGTGGCTGACGCCGTCGCATCTTGCCCTCAGCCACTGCTGTGTGACCTGTGCATCAGGCTGTGGGGGGCAGGCTTCTGACTGTTCTGCGGGACACACGTGGAGCTGTGTGGGCTGCTGCTGTGGGAGCTGGGATTTGATTAAGAAAGTGGCTTCCCAAGAGAGACTTCCTCTGGCCAGCTCTGAAATAAGCAGCACCTCTGCCACCCCTGGGAGCTGCGCAGGGCCCCAAACTAGGCCAGCTCATCCTGTCACTGACCAGTCATGGGTGAGAGATCCAGGACATACCTGCATCATGGCAGGACATTAGGGTGTCTGCTGCTGCATCTGTGTGGGTGGCGGGTGATGTCTAGGGCACTTATTGTTTCAAAGCAAATTAAAAGAAATGCCTAGGACTTCCCTGGCCATCCAGCGGTTAGTATTTCGTGCTTCCACTGCAGGAGGTATGGGTTTGATCCCTGGTTGGGGAACTAAGATCCCACAAGCCGCGTGGTGCAGCCAAAAAAAGAAAAAAAGGAATTGCCTAGTAATATTTTTCTGTAAAGCAGGGAGTGAACTCGTTTCATTCAGCTGGAGCGTGGGCCTCCTGGAGGCCACATTTGCTCCACGGTTGCTCCGGCCTTGCATCTGCCCTGGCGTGCTTCAGCACTGCACACCGTAGATGGCACAGAAGGGCCATGAGGTTTGCTGGCGCCTGTGCCTGTTACCTGCTTCAGGAGGCGGCCTTGTCAGTCTTCTTTCACCTTTATCCCTGCTCGCCATCCCCCAGGCACTATTTCAAAACAAACCCCAGACGGCATGTCATTTCTTTTGTCAATATTTCAGTGTGTATCTCGAAAATATAAGGACTTCCTTTTCTCCAGGCATTGAGCCACGTGGTCGTAACTAGGATGTACGTGTGGTCAGCTTGAATGGCTGAAGTGAGAGTGGTTGAGCCAGTTTGCAGTCCCAGCAGCAGAGCATGACAGTTCCTGCTCTTCCACTTCCTCTCCAGCCCTGACTAATATTATCAGTCGGTTTATCTTATCTCTTCTGATGGTGTATATAACAGCATTGTGCTTTTAGTTTGCATCTCCCTGGTGACTAGTGAGGATGAGAACCTTTTCATGTATTAATTGGCCATTTAGATACTTTTTGTGTGAAGTCTCTTGCCCATTTTCTATCAGGCTGTGTCTTCTTTTTTCATTTGTAGGAATTCTATTTCGTGGATACAAGTCCTTTGTTGATTTTTTTTGGGGGGTGGGGGGCGGCGTGCCACGTAGCTTGCGGGATCTTAGTTCCCTGACCCGGTATTGAACCCACGCCCTCGGTAGTGAAAGCCAAGAGTCCCACCCACTGGACTGCCAGGGAATTCCCCCTTTGTTGATTTTGCGTTGCAAACATCTTTTCCCACTCTGCTTGCTGGGTTTGGTTTTGTTTTTTACTCTCTTAATGGTATCTTTTAATGAGCAGAGAGCCTGATTTTCATATAGTCCAAGTCATAACTCTTTTTGTTTGGTTTTTTTTTGTTGTTGTTGTTTTGTTAAGAAACTTCTGACTTCGAAATCATAAAGATAATTCTCTTACTACTCTTCTGTGTTATCTTTTAGAAGCTTTATTGTTTTACCTTCATATTCCTACCTACAGTCCACCTGGAATTGATTCTTGTAAATGGTGTCAGACTGAAGTGTTTTTTCATATGGTTATTGTCCAGTTGACCCAGCACTGTATTGATAAGGCCGTGCTTTCTCAATTGCTTCACAGTGTCCCTCTTGTCATAAATCAAGCAATCACGTGTGTATGCATTTCTTTTCTACTGTCCTGTTTGTAATTATGAACACAGCACTATTTAATTACTGTAGCTTTGTAAGTTTTGATGTTCGATAGAATTAGTCCTCTCACTTTGTTTTTCTTCAAGGTTGTTTTTACTATTCTTTGCCTTTTGCATTATTTTAGGATGAGCAGATTTTAGAGTGAGTTTGTCAGTTTCCACATTCTCCCCTGTTCCCCAGAAAAACCTGCTGAAATTTTGATTAGGCTTGCATTTCCTATAGATTGGGGTTGGCTAATTATGGCCCACAGGCCAAAACCAGCCCGCCCCTATTTTGTAAAAGAAACTTTACTGAAACACAGCTGCTCCTGTTTGCTTACATATTATCTATGGCTGCTTTTGTGCTATAGCAAAAAGCTGAGTAGTTAGGGCTTCTTTAATTTCTCTCAGTAACCAAGTTCTTTGGGTAGAGGTCTTACATAGTTCTCGTTATGTTTATCCTTAGGTACTTGATATTTTCATGTTATTCTAAACAATGTCTTTTTTATTGAAAAATTTTATTGAGATAATTTTAGATTCGCTTGCAGTTTTATGAAAGAATGTAAAGCTACCTTTTGTACACTTTGCCTGGTTTCCTTCAGTGGTGCCATTTTGTAAAATGCTAGCAGAAGATCGCAACCAGGACGTTGACATTTCACTTGCAGTCATTTGTGTGTGTACGTGTGTTAAGTTCAGTACAATTTATCACTTGTGTAGGTTCGTGTCTCCACCGTCAGTCAACATACTGAACAGTTCTTAAACCGTAAGGATCCTTTGTGTTGCCCTTTTATAACTACTCCCACCTTCCTCTGGCCTCTATCCCTTCACCCATCCCTAACCTCTGGCAACCACTAGTCTGTTTCATTTCAGAAATTTTGTTTTTTCAAACTGTTATTTAAATTAAATCATATAACATACAGCCTTATGGCTTTTTTTTCTAGCATACATCCCTGAAGAGTCATCCAAGTTGTTGTGTGTATCAGTAGTACATTCGCTTTTATTGCAGTGTGAGTAGTGTTCCATGGTGTGGATGGAACACAGTTTGTTAAACCATTCACATGTTGAAGGACATCTGGGCTGATTCCAGTTTTTGGAAATTATCAATAAAGCTGCTGTTCTAATAATTTATATTCTTTTTACTTTTTTTTTTTTAATTTTTATTTTTGACCACGCCGCACGGCATGTGGGATCTTAGTTCCCCACCAGGGATCAAACCCATGCCCCCTGCAGTGGAAGCATGGAGTCATAACCACTGGACTGCCAGCGAATTCCTTATATTCTTTTTTTAAATCTATGTATAAGATCATACCATCTGTGATTAATAACAATTTTATTTTGTCCTTTATAAATCTTACACTTTTAGTCTCTTTTTCTTGCCTTGTTGCATTGTCTGGAACCTTTAATACATTGTTGAATTGAAGTGGTGATAGTGGGCCTCTGTTCTATTTATTGCCTCTGAGGAAAAGCTTTCACTGTTTTACAGTTAAGTATGTTGTTTGTTGTGGAGTTTATTTTGTTTGTTTGTTTTGTTTTTTGGGTTTTTTTTTTGCGGTACACGGGCCTCTCACTGCTGTGGCCTTTCCCGTTGTGGAGCACAGGCTCCGGACACGCAGGCTCAGCGGCCATGGCTCACAGGCCCAGCCGCTCCGCGGCGTATGGGAACTTCCCGGACCTGGGCACGAACCCGTGTCCCCTGCATCGGCAGGCGGACTCTCAACCACTGCGCCACCAGGGAAGCCCCATATTGCTTTCTTTTTAAGAATTTTTGTATCTGTGGCCATCAGTGAGATTGGCTTATAATTTCCTTTCCTTTTCTTTTTTGTTTTTTAATTTTTAATGGGGTATAATTGATTTACAGTGTTGTGTTAGTTTCAGGTGTACAGCAAAGTGAATCTATTATACATACACACATATCCACTCTTCTTTAGATTCTTTTCCCTTATAGGCCATTACAGAGTATTGAGTAGAGTTCCCTGTGCTATACAGTAGGTCCTTACATAATTTCCTTTTCTTAAAGTGCCCACATCAAGGTTTTGGAATCGAGGTTTTATGTCCTCATACAATGATATGGGGCATCTTCTCTCATTTTATGTTCCCTGGAGGAGTCCTGCATAAGATTGGGGTTATTTTTCTTTAAATTTTTGATAGAATTCACTAGTAAAGCCTTTAGAGCCTGGAGTCTTCTGTATGGGGAGGCCTTTAATTAGAGATTTTGTTTCTTTTGACACTCTAGAACTCCAGATTTTCTCTTTCTTCTTGTCAGTTTACGTGAGTTTTTCAAAGGAATTTTTCATTTCTCCAAATTTACAGAAATTGGCCTAAACTTGTTCCAGATAACCCCTTGTAATGGTGTTTATATCTGTAGGGTGTGTAGGGATGTTTCCTGGAGGCTTCTCTGCTGTTTTCAGTCTTTCTCTCTAGTCTTTCTCTCTAATCACGCTTTTCAAAGAACCCCCGCCCCTGCCCCCCCACTCCCCCCCCCCCCCCCACCCCCTGTTGCCTCTCTTCTCTCTCTTTCTCCTCCTTCGCCTCCTTCCCTTCACTTCTGGCATGAGGATTCTGGCATGAGGATGGTTGGGATCCCTTGCCTGTTCCGTGTCCCCATTGCCCCCAGTAGAGTCCTGGGTCTGTGCAGTGGCCTGGACTCGCAGGCACCTCATCTCTGTGGCCAACTGAGCCGAGCTTGCCAACACGTGTCCAAGAAGGCCTCTGCCTGGGCTTCTCCCGTCCCTCTGCGCTCAGGCACCACACCCTGTGACTGCACACTCAGCCAGCCAGCTGCGTCTTGTCTTGTCGGCTCTGGTCACCAGCCAGCTGCACCCCTCCGCCTCTGCTTTTCTGAAACCTCAGTCCTTTCCCTTCAGCCACCTGTGGGGCCTGTCAGCTTTCCGGGTTTGTGTCCCCTGTCCGGGAGCTGTCAGTGATGGCCACCCCAGGCTCAGCTCTGTCTGCACTGGTCATTTCTGCTGGGAAGACTTGAGCTGGTGCATGTGGAGCGGTTGCTGTGCCATCTCACTCGGGTGCTGGGGCTGCACTCGTGCCCAGTCTCGGTGTGTGGCAAACTCCGCCAGCCCAGGGTCCTCTCAGGCCCCCACCGCCTCGTGGACTTGCCTGTGTTCAGGGCTCTGCCTGTCATTGCTGGGGGGGCAGCGGAGGGGGCTTTCTTACAACTCTTTCCACGTCTTTCCATTATTTCTGCTCACTGTTGTTGAAAATGAATCTTTCCCATGGCAGTTCTTGGGGGCAGCATCTCCTGGTGCTCAGGGTCTGCCCCGCTCACCTCTCAGGGGCTGTCTGGTTGCAGGTGATTGTGTTCTTGAGGAAGAAGGACAAGTTCATCAGCCTGCTGTTGAAGCACATCGGCACCTCGGCCCTCATGGACCTGCTGCTGCGCCTGGCCAGCTGTGTAGAGCCCGCCGGGCTCCGGCAGGAGGTCCTGCATGTGAGTGTGTGGGCCCCTCCTCCCTGGAGCCCCTCCCCGTCTGTGCGGGTTCTGCACATTCTCCGAGTGTGGAGTAAGTGCCTCCTGGTATGAGGAGGCTGGAGCTGGTGAAGCAGCACCGGGGTGCCCAGCACCCCAGCTTTCCACCCCGCAGGACCTTCCCCTCCTGATGAGAACCGCTCAGGGGTTCTCGTCAAGGCTTGTATTTGAGGCTGGGTCTGGCATCTGCACCTTTTCTCTTGTCCTGCCTCAGTCCATTCATTAGCAGAGAGCAGAAGTGGGCTTCCTCACTTGTGCCCCACCCCCAGGGCTGCTAGGTCTCCATTGGGCGCTGGTCCTGTGCCCGAGTACGTGCCCGAGAGGAAACAGTCGCCGAAGAGGATTCCATGCAGAGAAGTTTCGAAGACCAGAGTTGGCCTGTTGTTTGTCCTGGAGCATGTGCCTGTGTCTTTCCTGACAGTATTCACAGCGAGAGGGGCTCCCCATAGCTCCCTGAGGGCTTTCCCAGAAAAGGGGAGGGTGCTCAACCCCAAGAAGCCCAGGAAATCAGTGCCGGACAGAGTCTGCTGCTGTTGGACAGGTGTTGTTTGTAATGCAGCTTAAGATAGAATAAGTAAACCATTGGTCTGGAATTAGGTGACAGTTGTCGCTCTCGGACTCATAACCTGGTTCATTATGGAGCGGCCTCCCACTGGGAGTTAATCATAGCAGCCGATGTGGCACAGTGAGAGCCGCGCGAACTCAGCCGTTGCTGAACGTTAGCGGGAAGCCTGCCCTGACTACACTGAGCCCGTTTTTGGGTAAGGAAGTGCGTAGAGGAGCCAGACTGACCTGGAAAGGCCCGGGCGCTGCAGGGAGCAGCTGGGCTGTGTGCTGGGAGAGCCCCACCGGCGCGGGTGGCTCCAGGCTCCACTTCGGAGACGTCCTAAAAACAGAGCTCACGTGTGTTTAAGAGTCTGGACCATTAGGGCATGTGGAAGGGGATCCCCTCCTTTACAGTCTTTGGGTCACTCCAGAATTCGGCCACTGCTTGTGCTTTCAGGGTCTGGGTGGACGCACGTGTTGGGTGAAGTATCTCTGTGCCAGAACCTGGCGCGTGGATTTCTGTTGCACTGAAGGCCTTTCCTTCCATTTCGTCAGGTGTGAGCGGAGTCACTTACAGGCCTCCTTTTCCCTTTCAGTGGCTTAATGAAGAGAAGCTCATCCAGAGGCTCGTGGAATTGATCCACCCGAGTCAGGATGAAGATGTGAGTATGGGCTTGTGGACCCCACCTTTGAGCAGGCGCCCCTCGCTCAGGGCTGGCAGAGAGCGCTCTCCACTGCTGTCTGAGGGGCCAAGTCACTCCTTTCCTCAGATGCTCTTCCTTTAATCAAGCACTGACTTGCAGACTTTTTTTTTCTAAAATATAATACATACATGTTATAAAAAAACAGTCTGAATAGAATTGTATGTTACCTATGGCTGAGTAACAGATGACCCCAAAACTTAGTTGCTTATAACAGTAAGTATTTTTTATCTCAGTTTTTATGGGCCAGGGGTCACAGATCCTCTGCCCAGGGTCTCTCACAAGACTGTGGTCACCTCAGGGCTCAACGAGGGGAGGGTCTGCGCCCAGGGTCACCGGTGGCTCTGCAGGACTCAGTTCCTTATTTTATTTATTTATTTATTTGTTTGTTTGTTTATTTTTATTTCTTGGCTGTGTGGCATGTGGGATTTTAGTTCCTTGACCAGGGATCGAACCCACGCCCCCTACCCATACCCCTTGCGTTGGAAACACAGAGTCTTAACCACTGGACCACCAGGGAAGTGCCAGGACTCAGCTTCCTGAGGGCTGCTGGCTGAGGCTGCCCTTGGCCCCATGCCCCCCGGGCCTCTCCGCAGGGCAGCTCGCAGCCTGCTGCTGCGTCTTCTGGGGCAGGCACCTGACCTACAGGTGACAGTCCTCGCCAGCGTGCCGCCGCCGTGAGTGCTGGTTCTAGCCTGCGCTCGAGGAGATGGGGTCTACAGGGGCGTGAGCTCCGGAGGGAGCGTGTGGGGTGGCAGTGGGTCTCCTCTCAGCCCCTGCCCGCTCCTTGCGGTATCACAGTTGAGAGTGTGGGGAATATCCCGATAGGCCTTTTCCTACACGTGACAACTGCACACAGCTGCACACGCACGGTCTCCTTAGCACTTTGGAGAGCGGTGGTCCTGACTCATGTCTGAGCCTTTGCTGCTGCCTGGCTGTGCTGTTTGGGGCTCTTTTGGCCCACGGGCCTGGCCAGGCAGCCGGGCAAGGGTGTCTGTGCTCCAGATCTGGGAAGGGAGATGCCCCTCCACCAGTGTGAACGCTGTGAGCTGACTGGCCCTTTCCCAGTCCTCGAGGCAGCTGGGAGGCCGCGGAGGCAACCTGGCTGCTTTCAGTCTTGCCTAAAACAGTCATGAAGCACTTCCTTCAGCTCGGTTTCCCGTGGCGCGCACGTGAAGGCTGCTTGTTAGGTGCTCCCTGCGCCGAGCCGGTGGCTGAGTTTCTCTCTGACCTTGTTCATCTGCTCCACAGACTCAGCCCACGTGGCTGGCAAAGGCACCGAATCAGAGGTTCTGAATTTTTATGGGCTTAATGTTTCTCTAGAAAAGTTGAGTCCTTTATTTTCTCTGTAGCAACTGTCCTGTTTTCTTGAGCTCACAGGACCCACCCTGTGTGTTAATAGCCACTTGTTGTGTCAGTACCACAGACACACTCGCGGTGTCTGTCTGAGGGTATAGAACGGTGTCTGCGTGGCGTGCTCGACCGTCGAGGCCCCGTGGGAGCTCTTGGAGGGCGGCCAGATCTGCGCCCCACGGTGAGAGGCAGGCCAGGCTGAGACGAGCCGCCTTCAAGTCCAGCGCCTCAGCAGACCTGCCGCAGCAGCCGCTCTGACCGTGCGGCAGGCCGGCCCTGAAGGCGGCTCTTCGTCCCTGTCCTTTCAGAGGCAGTCCAACGCTTCGCAGACGCTCTGCGACATCGTCAGGCTGGGCAGGGAGCAGGGCAGCCCGCTGCAGGAGGCTCCAGAGCCAGACCCCCTCCTCACGGCGCTGGAGTCGTGAGTGTGGGCTGCGGCACTGGGGGGCCTGGGCTGAGGGCCAGGGACACCGCCACCTCCTCTGATCGTTTCTGAGGAACTCGCCCCGATCCACAGTTAACTTGATGGGCCTCTTTCTCATGGGAGGTGTCTCCTGGCAGGTTCAGAGAATGCGGGCCCCCGGGGCAGCCGTGTCCTAAAAACCCTGGGTGCGTGGCCTGAGCCCCGAGCGGGGCCTCTCCGGGATTCAGGGTGCTGCTCCTTCGGCGGGGGTGGGGGTGGGGTCTGTGCACCCCCCGCCAGGCAGTGACCTTGCGCGTGTCCGACAGGCAGGACTGCGTGGAACGGCTACTGAGGAACATGTTTGACGGCGCCCAGACCGAGCTCTGCCTCGTCAGCGGGACCCAGGTGTTACTGACCTTGCTTGAGCCCCGGCGGGTGGGGTGAGTGTCTCCCGAGAAGGAGAGCGCTGCCACTTCAGTGACGGAGGCCCAGGGGAGCGGCCGGGCATGCTGTTTGTGCTTTTAATGTTTCTAATGATGCAGGTGATCATGGGGACAGACTCTCCTTGTTGAAAAGATAAACTTGACGGCTGTAAAGTCCCCTTTGACCTTCGCCATCAATCACATTCCCACCTCAGCCCAAAGACACCCCCTGTCGCCAGTTTGCAAAGTGTTTATAGACGTGTGTGCAGAACAGGCACGGCCAGTGGGCTTCCCCAAGGACTTTCCCGATGAGTACCCCCAGCACGTGTGTGTGTGTGTGTGTGTGTGTGTCTCTGTGTGTATGTGTGTATATGTACACGCGTGTGTGCGCGAACGCACGTGTGTATGTTTGCATGTGCACTTCTGTCTGCTCTGTCCTGTCACGTGCCGTGCTGGTGGTCTGATTCCCAAGGAGACTGCAGTTCCCTCATGTCCTCGCTCTGGAAGGAGCTTCACTGTAGCCCCCAGCACTGATAGCCTGTGCTGTTTTTTTAAAGAAAAGGAACAACCAGAAAATAACAAAAAATTGACTTAATCTCAATGGTGAGATTATTAGCAGTTTCCTTCTCTCCCTCTGGTACCCAATACATATTTATTAGTTTATTACCTAAAAAGAGAATTATGATGTTATCATCGTTTAGTTAGAAACCAGAATATTGCTTATTCATCTTTATGAGCCCAGGAAGGCTGGGCCCTTCCCGCAGGAAGTGGGGACTCTGGTGAGTGCCTCGCCTGCGATGCAGGGACAGTGTGACAATGCAGAAAACAGATGAGCCGGTTCATTCTCTCTGCTTTTTTATCCTTTTATGTGGCCTCTTTTATCCTTTTATGGCCAGTCCTGTCTGTTTCTCAGCCGAGGAGTGGGGTCGACAGTGAAGGTTTTCAAGGTGGGAGGAGGGAGCAGAGCTGCTTTGAGGGTGTGACGCCCACAGCCCGTCAGGGCCATCACCTGGGCACGGCCCCCACCCCCATACGGTCAGCAGCCTCCCTGGAGACGACAAGTGGGCACTTCGGGAGGGGGTGTGGTGTAATGGGACTAGTGTCCCCGTGTCCAGCTACCTCTGGTCCACAGGATGGAGGGCTTGCTGGACTCCTGCTCTCAGGGACTGGACAGGCTGTGTGCCGTCAGCTCCGGCGTCCTGCGCGGCATCGAGCCACGGCTGAAGGACTTCCACCAGCTTCTGCTCAGCCCGCCAAAGGTAGGTGCCCCGAGCAAAGGTCGGGGGCTCTGAAGACCTCGTGGGCCGGGTCGCTTGCAAGGCAAAGACCCCACTCGCCACCCAGGATGACAAGCGCACTCAGACCCCATCTGCCGAGTGTCCATCTTCTCTTTGGAGAGTTGGACGGTTCGCCACTCCCCCCCCAGGCAACTCCTGCCTTCTGACTGGGGGCTGTCTGAGAGCCCGAGTGCACTGGAGACCCAGCCTCTTGAGTTGGGGGCACCCAGCCAAGGAGTGAGGGGGTCCCAGAGGAGACCCTTTGCTCAGCTGAGTAGCGGTGGTCACGGTGAGGAAGACCCAGTCCCTCTGCACCTCAGTGCCCCAGGCACAGCCCCTTCGCCTCTCCTGGTGCCTCTCTTGGGCACCCGCCGTGGTCTACTATACTGTTTCTTACATATATCAGCTTGTGGTCTGCCTTCCCCACTAGAAAGGAGGACTCACGAAGTCAGGGATTCTGGAACATTCTGCTAATGAAAAGGTAGATGCACTGTACTCCGTGTGTGGGATCACCCCATCTCACGAGGCCACCCTTGTCGTCAGTCTCCTCCGTCTTATACGCTGAGGTCACATCCCTTCGGCTGGCAGGCTGAGACCAGAGTGCCCTAGGCACCCAGGAGCAGCGGCCCACCCTCACTCAGTCTTGTGAGCCCTGAGGGGAGCGGTGGGGCTCTTAACCTGACTGACCCCTTGTTCCCTCCTGCAGACCACGTTGCCTTGAGGACCCCTCCCCGGCTGGGCCACGTCATGCAGCAGCGGCCCTGGCCCTTCGACCAGGGTCAGGTCAAAGAGAAGCCCACACATGGGTGGTGATCACACCGGTCACAAGGCTCTAACTGGGCAGTCCTTTTGTGTTTGCAGAAAGCAGCGATCCTGACCACCATTGGCGTGCTGGAGGAGCCCCTGGGTAACGCCCGCCTGCACGGAGCTCGCCTCGTGGCCGCCCTGCTGCACACGAACACGCCCAGCATCAACCAGGAGCTCTGCCGGCTCAACACCATGGGCTTGCTGCTGGTGAGCGGACACCTGCCCAGCCTGGGACCTCAGCGCCCAGGTGAAGGCCTGCCCGAAGGGAGGCTCTGGTTCGGTCCTGGGGCAGGCACAGTCTGTGCAGAGACCACGTCCTGCCCCCCAGGCTTGACGCCAGGTCACTGGTGAGGCGCACCGAGTGACGCTGGGACCCGCCTCCGTGTAGGCTCATGCAGGGCTGCCCTGGAAGCAGAGGGAGCCGGTAATATGGTCCCTCCCCTTTCTGATTTCTGCCTTAATAGAGAACTTTGAAGCTCTTCAGCCTAAAACGCCCTAAAGAGCTGCTCCTCGTCCCCACAGTAAAGGCAGAGCCTGTGGGGAGCTCCTCTGGCGGGCATGCCCTGGGGGTCTGAGGGAGGGTCTGCAGGCAGTGACCACAGGGCGCTGCTGACAGGGAGGGGACCTCGCTCAAGCTGTACACCGAGCTCATGCATCCCCAGCCTTCTCCTCAGCCTTGCCCCTGGGCCTCTGCTCCCAGGAAGCTGAAATATCCTTACATTTAAATCTCAATCCCAGAAGGAGCTGCCTTGGACCTGGGCCTGAAGGACTGCCTGCCTCAGGAGTCCTTCCAGCGTTTGGAAGTCACTGGGCTCTGCTGTGACTGTAGAGCCTGGATGTGGGTCAGAGGGCGAGTAGGGAAGACCTCACTCATTTCTTTTCCTCTCCTCCGAGAAAGTTCTCTCTCTCCCACTCCCCCTTTCTACTTTTCACTTATTGTGGCAAAATATATGTAACATGAAATACACCATTTTAATAACTTTCAAGCATATGGTTCAACGTTCACGTTGTTGTATAACCATTACCACGATCTCCAGGACTTTCTCATCTTCTCCAGCTCTGAGCATTAAACACTCGGTCCTCATCCTCCCGCCAATCCCCAGCCCTGGCACCCACCCTTCTACTTTCTGTCTCTATGGATCCGACTATTCCAGGGATTCCTATGTAAGTGGAATCAAACAGTATTTGGCCTTTTCTGTCTGGCTTATTTCACTTAGTATAATGTTCATCCATGTGGTAGCATGTGTCACAATTTCTTTCCTTTTTAAGGCTGAATGATATTTCATTGTATGGATGTACTGCGTTTTGCTTATCCATTCATATGTTGGTGGACAATTGGGTTGCTTCCACATTTTGGCTGTTTTTAATAATGCTGCTATAAACATGGATGTACAAATATCTGTTTCAGCCCCTGCTTTCACTTCTGACTACATACCTAGAAGTGGAATTGATGGGTCATACAGTAATTCTATGTTCAACTTTTTGAGGCACCCACACACTGTTTTCCCCAGTGGGTACACTGTTTTACATTCACACCAGCAATGTGTGAGGGTTCCAATTTCGTCACTAACACGTGTTTTCCATGTTTTTGATAATAGCCATCCAGATGGGTTTGAGGTGGTATCTCACTGTGTTTTGATTTGCATTTCCTTAGTGATTAGTGATGCTGAGCATTTTTTCATGTGCTTTTGCTGGCCATTTGTGTATCTTCTTTGGAGAACAGTCTGTTCAAGTCCTCTGCCCATTTTTGAATTGGGTTGTTCGTTTTTTTGTTGTTGTTGAATTGAAGGAGTTCTTTATATATTCTGGATATTAAGCGCTTAGATACATGATTTGCAAATATTTTCTCCCATTCTGTGAGTTGTCTTTTTGCCCTCTTGACGGTGTCCTCTGACGCACAAAGGTTTTCATTTTGATGAAGTCCAGTTTATCTGTTTTTTTTCTTTTTTTTAATTAATTATTTTATTTATTTTTGGCTGCGTTGGGTCTTTGTTGCTGTGCGTGGGCTTTCTCTAGTAGCAGTGAGTGGGGGGCTGCTCTTAGTTGTGGTACGTGGGCTTCTCATTGCGGTGGCTTCTCTTGTTGTGGAGCACGGGCTCTAGGCGTGCAGGCTTCAGTAGTTGTGGCTCGTGGGCTCTAGAGTGCAGGTTCAGTAGTTGTGGCGCACGGGCTTAGTTGCTCTGCGGCATGTGGGATCTTCCGGACCAGGGCTCGAACCCTTGTCCCCTGCATTGGCAGGCGGATTCTTAACCACTGCGCCACCAGGGAAGTCACAAGTTTATCTGTTTTTTCTTTTGTTGCTTGTGCATTTGGTGTCATACCTATACCTAAGAAATCATTGCCAAATCCACTGTCATGCAACTTTCCCCCTGTGTTTTCTTCTAAGTACTTTATAGTTTTAGCTCTTTCGGGTCTTTGGTCCATTTTGAGTTTGTATATGTATGCAGTGTAAGGTAAGGGTCCAGCTTCATTCTTTTGCATGTGGATATCACAGCACCATTTGTTTTGTTTCGTTTTTTGAATGTAAGTTTCATGTGTAGGTTATATTTCTACTTCTTTATACCCTATTGCATGCTCACCACCAAAGATTTAGTTTCCATCTGTCACCATACAGCTGATCCCCTTTACCCATTTCATCCTCCTCCCTACCCCACCCCTTACCACTGGTAACCACTACTCTGTATCTACGTGTTTGTTTTTGTTTGGTTTGTTTATTTTGTTTGTTTTTCATTGATGAAATTATACGGTATTTGTCTTTCTCCATCTGACCTACTTCATTTAGCATAATACCCTCTAGGTCCATCCATGTTGCTGCAAATCGCATTATATCATTCTTTTTTATGGCTGAGTGATACTCCATTGTATATATGTACCACATCTTCTTTATCCATTCATCTGTTTATGGGCATTTAGGTCATTTCCATATCTTGGTTATTGTAAATAATTCTGCAGTGAACATGGAGGGGCATATATCTTTTCAAATTAGTGTTTTTGTATTCTTTGGGTAAATACTCAGGAATGGAATTGTTGGATCATATGATGGTTCTATTTTTAATTTTTTGAGGAACGTCCACACTGTGTTCCACAGTGGTTGCACCAGTTTACATTCCCACCACCAGTGCACAAGGTCCTCTCTTCTCTCCATCCTCGCCAACACTTGCTATTTCTTTCAGCACCTTTTGTTGAAAACGCTATCCTTTTCCCACTGAATGGTCTTGGCACCCTTGTTGAAAATAAATTGACCATATGTGTGAAGATTTAGTTCTTTGGATTGTTTATCGTTAGTGGGAAGAAAATGCAACAGAGTTTTGAGTGTTGATCTTGTATCCTGGAACTTGGCTGAATTTGTTTATTTGCTCTAACAGTTTATGTGGAATTTGTACAGTTTTCTGCATACAAGATTGTATCATCTGTGAACAGAGATAATTTTATTTCTTTCCAATTTAGATGCCTTTTATTTTTATTTTATTATTTTTTTAAATTTTTAAATTTTATTTTTTATAAGCAGGTTCTTATTAGTTATCCATTTTATACACATCAGTGTACATGTCAATCCCAATCTCCCAATTCATCCCACCCCCACCCCGCTTGGTGTCCATATGCTTGTTCTCTACATCTGTGTCTCTATTTCTGCCCTGCAAACTGGTTCCTCTGTACCATTTTTCTAGGTTCCGCTTATATGCATTAATATACAATATTTGTTTTTCTCTTTCTGACTTACTTCACTCTGTATGACAGTCTCTAGATTCATCCACGTCTCTACAAAGGACCCAGCTTCGTTCCTTTTTATGGCTGAGTAATATTCCATTGAATATATGTGCCACATCTTCTTTATCCATTTGTCTGTCTGTGGGCATTTAGGTTGCTTCCGTGACCTGGCAATTGTAAATAGTGCTGCAGTGAACATTGGGGTGCATGTGTCTTTTTGAATTATGGTTTTCTCAGGGTATATGCCCAGTAGTGGGATTGCTGGGTCATATGGTAATTCTACTTTTAGTTTTTTAAGGAACCTCCATACTGTTCTCCATAGTGGCTGTATCAGTTTACATTCCCACCAATAGCACAAGAGGGTTCCCTTTTCTCCACACCCTCTCCAGCATTGGTTGTTTGTAGATTTTCTGATGATGCCCGTTCTAACTGGTGTGAGGT